GGTCCGGGGTTGGATGGATGCGACCCTTCGTGGGTCTCCCTCCCTGTGGGGAGCGGGGTGATGGCACCCGAAAGCAGATTTCAGCTTTCCCCTCACTGAAGGGTTGGCTGGGGAGATGGAAAAGAGAGAAATGGGGGAATTTTGTGTTTCTTGGAGGTATCTTACGATCGTAACCATCATTGCATTGCAGGACATGACCTATCTCTGTATCTCGGCCTCGGATTCCTCCAGTCAAAACCTGTAAGTCGTTTGCCATCCTTTTGCCTCCCAGGGTTGCGTTTTGGTAGTTATCAGTCAATAAGTGTTCAAATTCTGCAGGATGAAGGTTCAGTTCACTCGTGCTGCAAAACCTTGGTATCGCTGAGCTTGGCAAAAGCTGTGGTTCGTTTTCAGGCAATAAATAGCATTTGTGGGGCTTAAAATCTGTTTCTGTGGGTGTTTGCAGTCAGTAAATTTTATTTTTTCATCAAATTTGAGAATTATTCTACTGGGCAGGGTGGAAAACTGGAGCATTTTTAAATTGGTTTAGAAAGACCAATGATTTGCGTCGGTCTTCCAGACGTTCTCCTTGGAAAGAGAAATAAAATATTTATTAAAATAAAAACTTTTTTCCCCACACAAAGCATAGATAGTCATAAGTCCTTTAACGACATTCTCGAGATGAAGTTTGTGGAGGTGCTGGTTTTCCAGCATCCTTGGGAGCAGTTGTGCCCGAGGGTGTGATTCTGCTTGCTCATGCTCCCGCTGAGCGGAAAGAGAAGCTTTACAAGAAAACCCTGCCTCAGCAAGAATAGGGTTTGGTTTTTTTTTTTGGTTTTGGTTTTTTTTTTTGGTTGTTATTTTTTCTCTCATTTCTTTGCATTTGTGGGATATCTACAGAAAGAAAAAGGGAAAAAAAAAAAAAACCAAAAAAAAAAAGAAGGACTGGCTGCCGGAAGGAAGACTTATTCAAGGAACTATTTTGTGCTTGTGAGTTTATGCCGTGGATTTCACAATCCTGGTGAACTTTGTGTCCTACAGAGTTGATGCTTGTGACAGGATCTCGGTGCCTCTCAGCATTACCAGGCTCCATGCCCCGATCCCACGCTTTGAGGCTGGAAAAGCACGGGGAGCGGGAGAGCTTTCCTCTGGCTGGCTGCCTTGGGGAAAACCGCCCCGTGGAGCGGGTGAGGATGGACAGGGTGGCCGAAGAGCTCACCTGCCTCTCTCCTGGATGGGTCGGGAGAGCGATGCTGTGTGCGTGGAGCAGGCTGGAGGCTGGTGGCGAGCGTGCCGAGGGAGCTGGAGGACAGAGCATCGTGTCTTTACGAGCGAGGTGCAGCCCCACCGGTCCTAGCCAAGGGGCTGAGGTGGAAGATTTGGGATCTGGAGAGCTTGGACCTGTGTAGGCAACGCGAGCAGGCCCTGGGGGATGCTGTCTGCTCTGTGAAGATGAGTAGGATGAGGAGAAATCCCCTGGGACAAGCTTTAGGCAGGGAAAGGCCCCCCAAACGGTGATGGTCTCTTCGCTACGGTGGTCAAGGACGAGGCACGTTTGTAGCCCACGAGGAGCGACGGACTGACATCTCCTTCCAGGGCTGAGAGGCTCAATATTTTTAGTATGTTCACAGCTTCAGGGACTCCTCCATCTCTCCTCCTCTTCTTGGGCAGCAAAACCCCCTGCTATTTCTGATTACGTCCTTGGCTGGTTTCTTAGAAGGTGCCCGAGCCCTGCCCTCCCAGGGGTGGGTGAAGAGCAGCATCCCCTCGGATCCCCCTCCCAGGGGTGGGTGAAGAGCAGCATCCCCTCGGATCCCCCTCCCAGGGAAGCGTGAAGAGCAGCATCCCCTCAGATCCCCCTCCCAGGGAAGCGTGCAGAGCATCCCCTTTGATGGGCTAGCAGGGATGGGGAAGGTTCTAGAGGGTTCTGCCTTGCCCTCGCAGGGAAGCTGGCTCTGAGCCCTGGGGGGGTCTCGGGGGAGGATGCACTGGGAGCGAGCCCTTGGTGAGGGGCACAGGGGGGAATAACTCTGTGGTAGTTCATGCCTCGGCTTCTGAGAAATGAGGAAGGCTGTGCAGGCGCACGCCCACCCCATCACGCGGAGGCAGAGGAAGTCCAGCGCCGGGGCAGAGGCACTGCTGGCTCCCGCACTCGCTGCCAGGCGGCTCTGGCTTGGCTGTGCCAAAGGGCTCCTCTTCTCCTCCCAAAAAAAGCTGGGGCTGTCTGGTCAGGCAGTCCACCAGCAGCCCAAGTTACTCAGAAACAGGTTTTCTGCCTCAAATCTTCCCCTCTTGGCCTTGGTGGGACCGTGAGGGCGAGCAGGGATGGGCAGCGTTTAGTGCGAACACGTGCCGAAGAGCCGAATACCTGGCTCGGTGGGGGCTCTCGGGGATGCCCGCTGTCTTCAAGAGGGACCAGCAGTGGCTTCCAGCACCCCGTGCAGCGATGAGCCGGAGAGAGATGTCTCACCAGCACCGGCATAACCCTCCCATGAACACCCACCTCCATCTCATCAGTACATATGGATTTATTTATCCTGTTTTCTAGGTCTCCATGCCTTTAAAGAGATGGGTGCTGCTCACATTGCTGAGCATCCAGGTCAGAAGGAGAGAAGCAGCGTAACATGTTGCAGCTCAGCTGCCAGAAAGTCCTGGTTCCCTGACCTGCCCCGTTTTGCTGCAAAACTTGCTGGTTAGGGTTAACGCGCTCCCTCCGCCGCACTGGTGGTTACTGGTTGTGCTTTCAGGAACGCAGGCAGCTGTCTGGGGACAAGTCTGCGTTGCCTACGTCCCTGGCACGGCCACCTCTCCGTGCCCTCCCTGGGGTGGGAAGGGGCCAGAGGGGCTGCCTGGAGTGAGGAGGGGAAGGGAGTTGCACCATTTGGGGATCTGCAGGTAAAACAGCTCGGGAGCCGTTTTCTCCCTGCCGCCTTCTCTGCCGGCATCTTCCGGGAGCTGGGTGTTTTTGGCATCGTTTGGGAATTAAGGGTGAGCCGATGGCTCAGGACAACCTCCGACACAGAGATGTGCGTGTCCCTTGGGCACCAGGAGATGACACCTTGCCCTGGAGACTGTCTCACTCCTGTGTCCTCCCCGAGCTGGTTTGGCTGATGGCATCGCCCTGCTTCCATCCCGATGCCTTGGGAAGCAGGAAATCCTGTGGGAAGTCTCCCAGGTCATTTCCTTCCTGGCAGATGAAGATCAGCGCCTCTGCCTTCGCCTGCCAGAGGAAGGATCTCTGCTCCCATCCCACTCCGGTGGCCCCAGGGTGGTGGGAAGTCCTCGGGGTGGCCGGGCACCTTGCAGGGGTGGGCAGCCCTCCCGTTCTCACCTCCCTGCCTCTCTCCTTGCAGGCTGCAGCATTTTAAGGAGTGCATCAAGTTCATCCACGAATGCCGGCTCGGTGGGGGAGGCTGCCTCGTCCATTGGTAAGAGCTGCTGCCACCGCCTCGCGTCCCCGGTTCGCATCGGTCCTGTGGGCACCCGAAAAGTGTCCTTGATGTCGAACGTGCCTTGTGGTGGGGAGGAAGAAGAGGAGAAGACAAGGAACAGCAGGAGGTCAACAGGGGAAGGTCTCCACTGTCGAGGCCCGTGGGGATGGGTGGTCCCTGCACTGACAACCTGAGCATCCACAGAGGCGGGACGGGGCACCAGCAGTGTCCCCCTGCCCATGCAGCTCCTTACCCCCACCCACCCCATGGCCAGGGAACTCCACTAGCACCCCAGCGAGAGGAAGGTGCATCCCATGGGTGTCCCTTGCTGCGGGGCTGTTCCAGCCTCCGTGGTGGGAATAACTCTCCCTGACGCTGTACCCTCGTGCCGTGCCAGCCTGGCGGGGGTCTCCCGCAGCACCACCATCCTGGTGGCTTACCTCATGACGGTGACCGAGCTGGGCTGGGAGGGCTGCCTGGCCGCCACCAAGGCCGTGAGGTCCTACGGACGTCAGCCCCAACTTTGGCTTCCAGCAGCAGCTGCAGGAGTACGAGGCGACCTTGCTGCAGGAGGTACGTCCCGCCCCGACGTCCCCTTATGTACGTGTCTGCGGAGTTTGCAAACACGCATGGCTCTTTTGCATGCAGCTCACTGCAGGGACCAGCTGTTTGCCCAAGTTTGCCTTTGTGCATGCTATTTATTACCTGGGGATTTTGAGTTTTGCATAAAAAAAAAAAAAAAAAAAGAAAAAAAAGTGCCTAGACATTATGCGAGTGCACTTAAAAAAACTTTATAAAACCCCAGTGCTTTTCTTGAGAGCTCAGTTAGGACACAGCGGGAGGGACGGATGAGCCGCAAGTCCCCCAGGAGCCCCAGGAAGGGCACGGGGCCGGTTCCCGGGAATGCAGCGTAGCGGGAGCCAGCAGCGGAAAGGGGGAGCGGAGAGGGAGGAAGGCTCTTGTGAGCTGTTTCGGGATGGCTGGGCGTGCTTGGGTCTGGCTGGGCTTCCTCTGACAGCAAGTCCTCCGCTTTTAGAGGCAGGGGACAGAGAGAAGCGAGTGTCGATGGAGAAATTCTCCTCTCCCCTCCCCAAAATGGCCCCGAGCAGCAGGGTTTCGGAG